TCCACTAGGACTCCAAGATCCCTCTCACAGTTACTACTACTGAGTCAGGTACCACCTCTACTGTACCTGTGCATTTTGTTTTTCAGATAAATTCTCATCGTGCCCAGAGAGAGAAATATCTGCCTCTACCTAGGATCGAACTCACAGCCTCCCGATTGTGAAGCGAGAGCTCCACCTCTAAGCCACCGCACCACTCACTTAACAACCATGTGATCCACTTAACCATTGCAGTGATTTGTTAAACAACTTTAAAACGTAAGTATTGCACAATTAATTGAGGAAAACCCAAAGAAATGAGTAGTTACGAACATGGCATCTAGCCTCAATGCTACATACAAATAACGGCAAAAGGGGCTGTAAAATCAGGCATGATTCATTAAACAATCACTTTGCTTAGCAACAGAAATTCTGCTTCCAACTGAGGTCGTAAGTCAATACATAACCTGTGTTATCTGAATTCATATTTAAGTAAGAAGAGGCAGAGTAAGAACCTCACTGACTACAAACCATACTGAATTTGATCCCATCATTTTTATTTTTTTTAAAAAAACTTCAGGGAACAGAGTGAGAAAATCTGGGGGAGGGGGGAAGCAGCCAAAGTAATTACTGTAAACTACAGTTTTCAGGAATGACGGGGGAAAGAATTGGAATTTTGATAGCCCATTCACAAAATAGCTTTCACAAAATGGCTGAGCTGAGTCATTTGCCCAAAGACAGACAGGTGAGTTCATTTCTCACCCTACTTTTTAGTGACTCGGCTTGCTCTTTACTAGCCTGGCTACCATTTTTTTTCTCCTTTGGGGCAGTTAAGTTTACCTGTCTGCACAGAATTAAATAGTGGCTGCCTCCATTGTTTGTTTGTTTTCCTAAGAATACAGATAGGACATATATGGGGACTGAATACATCTTAGAAATGAAAGCAATAGCAGTGATAGGACCTGGGTTTTTTTTTTTTTTCCCCTGAATTTAAAGTTTCCAAATTCTAAACATCAGAAGAAACAAAAAATGCCCAGTTACCCAGAAGGTAACTGAAGGTGATCGTGGATCTCATGTTGGTAAGCACAACAGTGGAGAAAACTGAACTAGAGGTACAAGTATCATTTCAAGATAAACAAGAGGTATAGCGTCACCATTTGGACAAGTTTTCTTGCAGACATTTCAATCAAGGAACCAGCAAGACTACCCCTACCAACACTGACAGGACAAACTACTAATATAAACAATGAGAGCAAACACCACTCCCTACCAGCACTGATGATGTTACCTAGTTGGGTAATGGAATGTCTGCAGGAAAACAACCAAGCTCATACAATACCAAGGACACCACAGTTTAACCCTATATCCCAGTGATGGCTAACCTTTTCTGGACTGAGTACCCAAAGAACATGTACATGCATGCGAATGCATGTGCGTGCATCCGAACCCCCAAAATGCAATGCTTGCACGGCCCCTGCGCACACTCCCCACAAATGCACATGCACCCTGTGTTAAGGATATTGTTTTGTGTTACCAACCAGCAGAGTGTAGAGCACAGAGAAACGTTGCTGAGAGCAATGAATAAGAGATGTGCAAACTGGTTTATCAAAAGTTTACTTTATAGTGGAAAAACAATCTCATAGTCTTTAAATCAATCCAAGTCTTTGCCAGTTAAATCAGTCCAGTGATACAAAATCTTCTTACCACACAAACAGTAGTTGGTTAGAATAACAAACTCACTCTGGTTCACAAACCACGATGGTAGCAGATCCATCCAACCGATGATAGCACAATGGTTGCAACTCCACATACAATGGTAGCTTATCATCAACTGAATCCATTACAGTACCTTTCTTAAATACATTCACAACCAGCGATTATCTAATTACAGCATGACTCAGCATTACAATGAATCAGCAGGAAAACTTTAAAGTCACACAATACATATTCATATTAAAGTCACAGAATACATATATTGCCTGGACAACTTGTTAGGCTCAAACCATATCCTAACATTCCCTGCATGCATGTATGCACACATGCATGTCCCGTCCCCTTGCATATGCGCATAAGGCGTGCCCCGGCCCCTACGTATGCATGGCAGAGACCCAAAAACCAGTTGGCCAGCAGGAGGTGCGCGCATATGTGAGGCGGAGCTGAACTGGGGCAACAGCTCCTGTGCCATCAGAGAGGGTGCTGTGTGCCACCTTTGGCACTCGTGCCATAGGTTCACCATCATAGATATATCCCATTAATCATTTAAATGCAATGAGGACATATAATTTAAGAAATTCTTTTTCTTGGTAGACCACCCATGATGCCTTCAAGCCACAACATTTGCTACCCTTTGTAGATAACCCAAACCGTCAGCCTAAGACAAATATCTCACTGTCTGTAACTATAGGCCAGTGCTAAATGGGCTCATTGTCCACCTTGTCCCCCAGAGATTTGTTTGCTTCTGTGTTTTTGAGACCGAGGGACTGTCCACCTACTGTGCCATCTGAACTGTGAAATGAGGCCATCATTTGCTCCTTGATGGGTCTATCTTCAACAGTCCCAGATTACAGAGGGCAATTCATCACTGTCAAGATTTGTTTAAAGGATAAGCCATTTCTTTTCAGGCTCTTGCCTCTGATGACTCCGATCGTGGCATCCAGCACACAAATGAGCTGCTTTATGGGGGACAAGGAACTGTTTAGTATCTATGGCAGGAAGCTGGCATTAACTTACAAAATCCAGATTGCACCATCAAGTATGCCACCAGAGCAATGCCTCATTAAAAGAATCAGAAGCAGTCGTCCTCTCTTTCTTAGAGTCAGCAAATACCTTGCAAAGTCTTGTTTACCCACAATTAATAACTAACCACATCTGCCCAAATTCTAACAAAGCAGAGTAATTTTCTTAATTAAGCATGGCTCTCCAATACCCCAGGGCACCTTGACTTATACAATGCGAAAAAGAGGGAAATGGTCCCCCAGCCACCTTCCTTGTACAAAACTTTCTTTCGAGAGAATGGCGACATGTTTGCTGGCACAGCTAATGAGATAGGGGAGTGGATACTCAACAAAAAAGAATAGCAGTGCACATTTAACTACATTAAAAATGCATGTATATAAAACACATGTGCACAGACAACACAAAATGAGAACCTTTGATTTTAAGGAACCAATTTTACGGATCCAATAGGAACAAAAACCAAGTTGCCAAGAGGGGGAAGAAGAAATTGTTACTTCCAGTGGTGGGATTCAAATAATTTAACAACTGGTACTCTGCCCTAATGACCAGCTGGGTGGGTGTGGCCATGGTGGGTGTGGCCAGTGGGTATGACATGCAGCACTCGGCCTCCTGCACCCCCGTTGGAGCAAAAATGGGCCGCGGGGGCGCACCGCTCCACGCCCCATTTTGGGCCTAGTAGGCCTCCTTGCACTTTCCTGGGAGCCAAAATGGGGCATGTGGGGAGTCCTGGAAGGAGCGGGGCAGGGAGGGCCAGCCAGCAGTTTAACAACCAGTTTGCCCGAACCGGCCCAAACTGGCTGAATCCCACCACTGGTTACTTCCCAACCCTATATGTCAAGTTTTTTTTCCCCAGACTTGGCCACCTCAACATGTGTGAACTTCAACTCCCAGAATTCCCCAGCCAGCATGCCAACCAAGGGAATTCTGGGAGTTGAGGTTCACACATTTTAAGGTTGGCAAGTTTGGATAACAGTGTTCTAGGATCAACCCTGAGCTACAAATATTCTCTTCTATTGGTACTGTTCTAGATCAATAACAAATGACAGGCTTTGGATAGGAAATTACATTTCCATTTTTCTTTTCCTCATACCTAGCAACTTCTGTTCAGAAATAAGAATTGGGGCCCTTTAGAGTCGGAAGATCCAAAAGGAATTCCAGGCAGGAGTTATACTGTAAGCTTCACTCAATGAAAACATTAATTTATGGAAAGGAAGTAGGACATTCAGTAATGAAAGTCATTTTTATCAGTCCTGGAAAAAAATAATTTTCTACTACACACTTTGGCTATTACAGCATAATCTGGATATTCTAAATGTAGCCCTTTTAAGATGTTCCAAATAGTAGGAAATCTAATTCTCTCAACCTGAAAGGGGGTTATTTCTTTCCCTAAACATTGCCTGCAAAAGGAAGAAATGAAACTGCATCTAAATGAAACCACATCCGTGAAAAGCTGAAACATGTTGCAGGTAGACCCTAATTTGTCTAGAGACAAGCATAGACTTTAAGGGCATTCTCTCCATCAAAGTTTAGAATTCAGATAATTTATGTTACCATTGGGAATGTTGAAAGCCCATTATATGCACATCCCCCAATGTCCTGATTATGAGAAACAAATTACAAAGGGGACATTTTGTACATCCATTTTTCAAAAGAAAGGAAACACAAATTATCACAGCTGTTTTAACCTAGAATATTGGTCGCTGGTTAACCCTAAATGCAACCAAAGCAGAAAAGCGTCATACAGATAATGAGGTGGACATGTACACACTTCCATGTAACACAAAAAAAGGTTAAATAGCAATAGTCCTTAGACTTATACACCGCTTCATAGTGCTTTACAGCCCTTTCTAAGCAGTTTACAGAGTCAGCATATTGTCCCCAACCATCTGGATCCTCATTTTACCGACCTTGGAAGGATGGAAGGCTGAGTCAACCTTGAGCCGGTCAGGATTGAACTCCTGGCAGTGGGCAGAGTTAGCTTGCAATACTGCATTCTAACCACTGCACCACCATGGTTCTTATATATTTTATACACACATAATACAAATGGAAGAGTATGAAAATGGGACCCAGTGTTATCTATCTGAGCAGCTTCTCCTATTTTAATGCCTTCAACCCTCTATATCTCTTGGGAGCTGCCTCCTACATTCTTCTGCGTCTAGAGGTAGACTCCACATCAGACAAAACTATGCCAGAGTGATATGCCAGGACAATGACACATGGCGCCCATAAATGAACAGACACACAACCATAGTGATTTCAGGTAAGAAAACAGTGTGTTGGCTTACCTTTGAGTTCACCACTTCCAAAGAGATATTCTGAGGAGAAGCGCTTGGCACTGAAATGCAAAAGGATGGGGGAGAGAAATGGATGAAAGTGGAAAAGCTGTAATTAGAGTTATGAAAGATTATGATAACTCTTTCCCCTCCCCTTCCCAAAGTTCCATCTATATCACATTTCCTCACTTTAATAACGAGAAAGCAATTGGGAGAACATTTCCAGCTGGCATCTCAAAACTTCCCCGCTGAGGTGAAAACTAAACACATCTGCACAATTTCCTCCCATTTCCAATAATCTTTAGCCGCTTTATTCAAAAATTAGCTTTCTGTAACTCAATTTTCTGTAAAGGAAAGAGGTATAAATTGGTCCAGGAATGTTAGTGGAACCCTGTACTGTGCTGTGTTTTTTTTTTCTATACTGCTCTTTTTTTCTTCTAGAGCAGTGTTTCTCAACCTTGGTAGCTTGAAGATGGGTGGACTTTAACTCCCAGAATCCCCCAGCCAGCAGCAGTTCTAGAGTTACTTGATAGTGAGATGGGTGGCATATAAATTTAATTAAATAATAAATAAATAGAAGATTCTTTGTTTATTGACGCTCTGGAGTTCATATGTCTATGAAGATTCTCACTCATCCAAGTCATGGTTGTCCCAAAGGTGTTTTTTTTTTTAAAACAAATAACAAAAAACAACTGAACTGCCTTATTTTTTTTCTTGAAAACATTTTGCTTCTCATCCAAGAAGCTTCTTCAGTTCTGATTGAATTCAGTCGTATCCCACCATTCAGTCAGAACTGAAGAAGCTTCTTCGATGTGAAGCAAAAAGGTTTTCAAGAAAAAGTCCAATTGCCTTTGAAAGGCAGAAAAGCCTTTTTGGGATGCCTGGGTCTTATAGCTACTCTACTACTAAAATGTACTTGAGTAATTTTGGCTTTGAAAATTAGGTTGGAGATACAGGGATTTTGTTAATGGACATTAGTTCTTACCTCTAGAGTGGACAATGCTGGGCAATCACCAAGAGTCCCAGGTCCCTTTAAAAAAAAAGATCAGATCTCTACCCTTAAATGTTTATCTGTCAACTATTGTAGATCTTCCACAAGGGCTCTGCAGTTCTGACATAGCAGTGCTCCAAAGTGATGCTATGATAGATGTCCTCCATGTAAATGGGACTCATCCCAGTAGACCACCTCTTACATTGAATTAGGCATCTTGTTGTTGTTGTGCACTATATCTTTGTGTGTCTGTGGGGAAGAGGGATGCAATACTGCCTTGACCAATCCTTGGTCAACCCTTTGTCAATGTTGGCAGTAATCTTCATTTGGTCCCAGTCAGTGCTTATAGACTGCTTGTGGACCATCCAACAGATGCCTACCATGATAGTCTTTAGGTGCCAGATCCAAACAATGTAATATACCAAACTTTTTAATTGATGTTTTAATGGTACTATTGTTGTTTATAGGTGATTATTATTTTTACCACCTCTGACTGTTTCATGGTTGCTGATGCTTCCCGATTTCTTTGTTTCGATTATTTCATTTGAAGTTTTGATTGCTGTTAATTAGTGTTTTGGAAATTTATACCTCCGCTGAAAATCAGATTAGCAGTCTGCACGGAGAGTCTTGCAGGAAAGAGATGCCAAGCACCAGTTTTTTACAAATCACCAGAGTATATCATTCCACTGAATAAGCAAGTCTAGAAAGAATTTGATCCTCTGTCCATATCGGTCAACATAATTTCTGACCTGCTGAAATTGAAGAGCCGTTTTTGTCTTGCTCTAAGAAAAATTGGACAATTTCTGTGCACTTAAGACTTAGAGGATCTTAAGGTCACAGTGAGCAAGGTTAGAGGTGAAATGTTTCTTTTTGGATTCCTTGGCTTAAGAGAAGACTTTTAAGCTCTTCTCAGAAGCTCATTCTAGGACTTAAGTAAACTTTTTTCATATTTTCTGTCTCATCAACAGCAGAAAAAACACACCATTACTGTAGCGCTCAGAATTATGATCAAAGGATGTTCTGGGGACTACAAAAACCTGAGGGCTTCACCCAGTCCTAAAATGCCCCTGCTCTTGAGGAACCTCCACAAGTTCCATAGCCTAGTTTTGATATCTATTTGATGGAAAATTAAGTGGACGAGAGCAAAAACTCTGATTATTCCTCCTCCCAACATGTTACCACTATGTGAGCTAATGGCCTAGCTTGGAAAAAGGCACCATTCTATGTTCTCACAATCTTGCTATCCTCTTGATTGATCGCTGGCTCATTGTTCATTATGCATGTATACCGCCCTGAGTCCACTAGGAGAAGGGCGGTATACAAATTGAAATAAAAAAATAAAAAAAATGAAACCTCCAAACAGATGAGCAAGATGTCAAAGCCACTGAATGCCAGTTGTAGGGGAAAGTATTTTATTTCATGGAATAAAGTACCATATTTTTCGGACTATAAGACACACCTGATTATAAGATGTACCTAAATTTAGAAGAGGAAAACAAACAAACAAAAAACGTTTTGGGCCTCCCTGCGACCCATTTTTGGCCCTTTTTTCAGCCCTTTTCCAGCCTTTTTTCTACTCATATTTGAGGCTTTTTTGGCCCATTTTTGAGGTTTTTTTGGCCTGTTTTTGAGGCTTTTTGGCCCATTTTCAAGGCTTTTTTCAATCCATTTTTGAGGCTTCTTTTGGCCCAGTTTTTCCAGAAAAATGGGCTGAAAAAAGCCTCAAAAATGGGCTGAAGAAAGCCCTGAAAATGGGGAAGAAAAAAAAAGCCCCCCCCCAAAAAAGGCCCGAAAACGGGATTGTATGGGTCAGCAATATTTGGCCTATAAGATGCACAGACATTTTGGGAGATTAAAAAAGTGTGTCTTATAGTTCAAAAAATATGGTATTTCTTACTTAGAGCACATATAATTCTTTCTGTTTGTCAAGTTTTTACTAAGAAGAAGTAAAGCTGTTTTTGCTTTCTAATGACTTCTTCCCTTCTTGGGCATTGACCATCCCACACAGTGAAGAAGGACCCAGAGTCCATGCAGTCCCACTGTGAGCTTCTACCTTGAAGCATGTTGCCTGCTATGATCCTCAGTAATATTGTTCAAGTATAAACTGAGAAGGGGTTCATTGTTAGACCTTAAGCTAAGACACAGACCTGTTTTGTCAAATTTCTCCACGACCCAATTCTCATTGCAAAAGCTGGTCAATATATTTGCATCCTAAATACACCCATTTGATGCCCGGAACAAATTGAAGGAAGTATTGAAATCTCAGATGTCTTTTTCACAAATGGTCAACTAGGTGGGACACAAGAGGGGATATTAACTGATTAGTGCTCTATAAGGTTATTACACCTGAACTCCAGATGGACAATAAATAGTCCGATGTCTCAATCTCTGGGCTGCTATCTAGAAGTCATATGACGTTTTGTAGTGCATATTTGTCATAGCCACAGTATTGCTTATGTGATCTGATGTCAGAAGCAGAGAAACTGAGATAGGACCACATTGATAGACAGATTTTTTTCCCTATCATTGGAACCAAGATGTGGTGGAATTTGGCACTAAATTGCAGGAGGGAAGAGTGAAGAGCCAATTCAGCAATAAATACATAGAAAGAGACCTAGAAAGGATTCTGCCAAAATCTTCACAATATTTATCTGATAGTTATACAGAGCATGTTTTAGTCTGGCAAGATTCTGTCTATAGGTGAACAGCAATAAAGAAACTATACTGAGCAATTTATTGTGTTCAATCAATCAGAATAGAGCTATAAGGGATCTTGGAGGTCTTCTGTTCAAGCAGGAGACCCTATCCCTTTTCAGATAACTAGCTGTCCAAGTATCTTCTTAAAAATTTCCAGTGTTGAAGTACCCATGACTTCTGAAGGCAAGTTGTTCCACTGGTTAGTTGTCCTCATGGTTAGGAAGTTTCTCCTTAATTCTAGGTTGTTTCTCTCCTTGATTAGTTTTCATCCATTGTTTCTTGTCTTGCCTTCTGGTGCTTTGGAAAGTAAGTTGACCTCCCTTTTCTTTATGGCAGCCCCTCAAATGCTGAAATACTGCTATCAGTATAGGACCCCTAGTCCTTCTTTTCTCTAGACCGGCCATACGCAATCCGTGCAACTGTTCTTTGTATGTCTTTGCCTGTAGGCCTTTAATCATCTTTGCTGCTCCTCTTTGCACTTTTTTCCCCCAAGTCTCAACATCATTTTTGTAACGTGGTGACCAAAACTGGATGCAGTATTCCAGGTGTGGTCTTACTAAGGCTTTAGAAAGCGGTACTAACATCATGTGATTTTGATTATGGCTGTTTATACAACCAAGGATTGTATTAGTTTTTTTTTTTTTTTTACTTCTGCCTTCACACTGCTGATTCATGTTTGAGCCAGGTTTCCCCTAATCTGTACTTGTACCTTTGGTTTTTCCTGCTTAGGTGTAAAACCTTGCTTTTCTCCACTTTAAATTTCATATTGTTTGATTGTTCAAGTATGTTAAAATCTTTTTTTTTTTAAAAAAAATGTTGTATCATAAATCTCCAATTCAAATTATCAAAAGCTTTTTGGGCATCAAGGAAAACCAAGTGAAACTTGTTAAACATATCAATTATAGTGTGTGTGTTCTTTCTAATTTGTCGTCCTGGCAAGAAACCATTTTGATCCAAATGAATTTATTTAGAATCATTTTTAACCTTTCAGCAATTATCGACATATAAATTTTATAATCAGAATTCAATAAAGAGATAGGCCTGTAATTTTGTACTAATTGCTGGTCTGAGTCCTCCTTATATATATAAGTGTGATTAGTGCTTCTGTCCATGTTTCGGGTACATTTGTCTCCTGTAGTGCTTCATTGAATATTTCTAACATAAAACCTCCTATCTGCTTTTGTATGCACCTATATAGCTCAATGGGTATTCCATCTGGCCCTGGTGTCTTAGTATTTTTTTGCCTTTTTATTGCAATTCCGAATTCTGTTTCAGAGATTGGTCTATTCAATACTTCTTTCTGTTCCTCCGTAAGTTTACGTACATTTATTTTCTCTAGATATTCTTTAATTTCTGCTTCTATCGTTTCTTCCTGCGTATATAATTTGGAAAAGAAAGTATGTATTATTCGTTTCTTGTCTTCTCTTTTATATCTGCTGATTCATGTTTGAGCCAGGTTTCAGCTAATCTGTATTTGTTCCTTTGGTTTTTCCTGCTTAGATGTAAAACCTTGCTTTTCTCCACTTTAAATTTCATATTGTTTGATTGTTCAAGTATGTTAAAATCTTTTTTGATCCTGCGCTTGTTTTCCGGGATGTGTTGGCTATTCCTGCCAGCTTATTGTCATCTGCAAATTTGATGAGTTTCCCTTCTATTCCCTCATCTAAGTCATAAGTATTGTTCTTGGTTCCCAATGCCTTACATAATTTGACTCAAGGTAAGGAAATTGGAAAATGAAAAATTCACTTTTCCAATATATGTTTTACAATAGTTTATTTCTTTTGCCTTCTGGGGCAATGGTGGTTCTGCTTTAGTTCTATTACCTTTAGTGATTGCTTTACTGTAGGACAGAGGTCTTCAAACTTGGCAGCTTTAAAACTTGTGGACTTCAACTCCCAGAATTGTGGCTGGAAAATTCAGCTCCCAGCATAGCTGGCTGGAGAATTCTGGGAGTTGAAGTCCACAAGTCTTAAAGCTGCCAAGTTTGGGGACCCCTGCTGTAGGATATACTCTGTAAAATTCCTTTTAATTCAGTATGAAAGTAGGCCCATTCGTTTTTCCGACATATATCAATTATTGTATTCAAACAGCTGTCAAGGTGTCATACAATAAAGGCACTGCTTAAGCAATAAAAAATGTTTAAGTAATTAAAATGGGAGGACATTTTTCAAAATTTAACTAGAGGGAAAAGGTATTTATATGGGCTAATTAGCTGCTCAGAATTTCATGGAAACCTTGGAAAACAAGTGAAATGATTGATTGTTGAAGAGACAATTGTACAATTAAAGACACAACTATCACACATACCTTTGCAATATATATTTCAATTAAATAAAAATACGAGAAAATTAAAAATTTATTCATCTGAATATCACCAAAATCCCTTTTTGCTTTGGAAAAAATTTCAAAAGCAAATCTGTTTTAGGAAATTGAATAAAAATGGTAGAAAAATATGCAAAATTGTGATGTTATACTCTGAGTAAAATACCCAATTCAATGTAATGGAAACTTTTTTAAAAAAAAACCAGAGACAAAAATTAGGTAAAGCATTATATTGTAGTGGAAATGCTGAGCATTAATATTAAAACAGAATAACAGTGTTGGAAAGGACCTTGGAGGTCTTCTAGTCCAACCCCCTGCTCAAGGAGAAAATCCTATACCATTTCAGACAAATGGTTGTCCAATCTCTTCTTAAAAACCTCCAGTGTTGGAGCACCTACAACTTCTGGAGACAAGTCATTCCACTGATCAATTGTTCTAACTGTCAGGAAATTTCTCCTTAGTTCTAGGTTGGTTCTCTCCTTGATTAGTTTCCATCCGTTGCTTCTTGTAAAATATGCTAGAGAAGAGGATATTATTATCCAGATATTACTCTCTGGGAAAGGCAGTCCAAACTGATGAATGAATCATTGAGGAATTATCACCCAGCATGTGAGGGTCTCTTGTGGAACCCAGAAGCACATCCAGAGGGTCACCTCCCTCAAATCATAACATTTCATTCTCTGCAACAGATTAACTGTGGCTGAAGATATTGTAACAGATTTAAATTAGTTACTTGAACTAATTTGCTTCCAGATAAGATTACTACCTTGATCTAAGAGCTTTAAGATACTGAGCACTTGGCATCAACAGACATCCATTGATTAAAAAGTAAAATCCAGGGGATAATGGAACAGCCTCCAAGTTACAAGTAATGAATTGTATCTGGTTAGGCTCATAAGAAAGTCAGGGAGGTCCACGTAGTATTGCTGAATATTAAAAAGGCAGAAGCTTTACAAGGTTTTAGCAAGTTTGCTTTTCTTCCTAAAAACTCATTCTCAGTAATTGAACATTCCACTTACAAACCAAGAATTTAAGCATTGAGCTAGAGCCCCCAGGAAATAAGAATATTTTTTTGTCTTAAGGAAACTAATGTGACGACTACATCCAGGACTCTTGGTTTCTAAATTTGGCCTTGTTACCTTTTTTCAACATCTGGTTTACATTATCCTACATTATCCATGACCACCAAAAGAGAGAGGAAAGCAAAGTTTTGAAGTTTCACAGCGGTTCTTTCATGAGCTCTGATAACATTTTGTTTCTCCCTATGCAAGATCTTCTAATATCTCAAATAAAATTATCCAAATTTCATGTAGTTTCTGCATTCTAAAAATATTTTAATGAAACTGGCTCTTTAAGCACTTAAGAGTCCAAATCATTACTTTATGGCTGACCAATGCTCTAATAAATTATATATTGTGAATTTACAAACAAAGATCTTTAAATTTATTTATTCTCAAATAAGCACATCACTGAGCAACAATGTGCAGCATTGATTACAATGTGATTTTTTTTAAAAAAAGTAATTACATGATAACATGCTGGCTATTAATCTTTAGTTACTTGATTAAATCCATCCACATTCTGCAGGAATTCTCTAATGGGAGAGATTACAAAACTTGCAAGAACTTCTTAAGGGCAAAATTAATATGAAAATCGACAGTAAGAGTTTAGGGGACAAGAGAAATTGATCGCATTAAATATGTACAACTATCGTATGCAATTTGCTCAGTTAATATTTTTCTTGATTGAGTTAAATTACAAAGTCTGGTTTCACAGTTCCTAGAACTTGTAATGCAACTATAATTTTTGTTTATTTGATGTTGAGTTTGTTGGTTAACTCCTTCTTACTGATGTTTGAAATTAATGTTTGAAAAAATAACTCAGTCATGTATTTATACACTGTGTAACAAAATTTCTTCAGAAAAGAAGAAGAAACAGCCTACTATATGAAATGACTGGAAACTCATAATATATACCAAATCAGTAACCTATACTTTTCTTTTTATATTAAGGCTGAAATTCGACCTGAAGAAACTTCTTGAATGAGAAGCAAAATGTCTTCAAAGAAAAAACAAGAAAGTCCAGTTGCGTCTTGAAAAAAGCACTTTTGGGACAACCATGACCTGGATGACTGAGAATCTCCATAGACATTGAAATCCTAGAATTTAACTAGACATCAAGTAAAATAGTCAATGCAGAGTAGTTTTATGATACTGGTCTAGGAGTATCTAGTCTAGGAGAATATACTGGTCTAGGAGTATATTCTAAGAAGAACCAGGTTCTATTCTTCTTCAAAGATGGATGACTTGGAGCCAGTCACTCCTTCTCAATTCAACCTACATTAAAAGATTGCAGCTATGAAATCGATGCATATAACAACCTGGACCGTCTTGCGTGGCGATGCCATTCCCTTACTTTGGTATCATGGGTTTTGTTTTCCACAAGCAAATTTAAGATTGTCTACTCTCTATTACTAATCCTTTGATTTCCAGTTGGGTAAAGTAAACCATAATCTGGAGGGTCATTCAACAGTATGTGTGTATGTGTATATGAGAGAATAGAATATTGAAAATAATGGAGCTACATAACCTTGAGAAGGTAACATAAACTTAGTTTGTTTCTATTGTACTCTCTTCTTCATCCCTCTATATATTCATTAACATATATTCTGGAATTCTTGTCTGGTAGTGAATTTTTTTTAATAGATCAACTGATGATAGATAGATAGATAGATAGATAGATAGATAGATAGACAGACAGACAGACAGACAGACAGACAGACAGACAGACAGACAGACACAGATTTCATTCATTAATATTCTCATGTCGATATAGGATATCCTAAACTTATCTACCAAAATCCCTAAGTCTTTTGCTTTCTCTTTCTTTTTCTGTTTGGCATGTATTTAACAACAATTTTCAAAATAAAACCAGGGAATAAGTGGATGGTCCAATCTACCATTCAATGTCATTTCAGGAGGCTAATCTACCAAGTGTTTGATGATATGCAAAAGTTGTTTCAATTGCCAACACCTGAATATATAATGAAGAAAGAGGAGAACTAAACAGCAGTATTTAAGACCATGAGAATCCGGTTCGAAGATCTAATTGAAGGTAGTCTGAGTGAATCAGGAAACCAAATTCATTCTCTGAACCAGATCAATGAGTCGCTGATTTAGAAGAGTAAAAGTCCAGATATTTCATTAAATGCCACTGGGTTTCCAAACCAAGTTGACACTTGTTTCAAATTACATTAATCAGGTCTGATTAATTGTACATCCTAATGTTTCGTAGCTCTAACTTACCATCTGAAAGGGTTCTAACAGTCAGGCCTTCAGTTGATACTCCTGGGCCATAATGATTGTAAGCCAGAAAGCGGAGAGTATATTCTGTGAATATCTTCAGGCCTTCCAGCTTGTAGGATATACCGTTAACTTCTACAGTCTGGATGGAGAAAAGAATAAACAGAAAAACCATAAAAATATAACAGCACAAAAATACTGTCTAGATTACAACATTGTGATAGATAGATAGATAGATAGATAGATAGATAGATAGATAGACAGATAGATAGATGATAGATTAAATATTATATACACACATATATACATTATGTATATATTAATTTCACTATTTAAGAATTGACTATGGAAGCATTATGGAGTTATTCATTCCTAAATTTCCAAAAAATTGATGCCTCATAACGTTTAGATTCTAAGGAGAGGACTTTAGTTTTTTAAAAAATCATTTTCTAGGATATATTCCTACAACTACTGTTTCTCAGATTGCAATATACAGAATTTGGGATCATGTGATACTTCTGCAAGAAATGGCCAAGATTCAATTAAATATATATTAAAATTATATTTACTTAAAATCCAACACCTGTTTTAGGTCTATTGAATATAAAGGAGAACCTGTAATGTATGCACAATTCAAACTCCACACTTTTTGAAAATGTACAGTGCGGTTTGCAACTGAAGAGAAGTGCATCAATACACATTATGCAAATTAGAAACAATAGTACATACTCAAATACAATTGTCTAAGGAAAAAAGATGTCTGTAAAATCTGTAAGTAGGAACAGGGGATTGACAATTTAATGTATTAAAGGATACACAAAAACAGGCAAAATGCTATTGCAGATATAATAATTTTTATATGTCAGAGTCAGGAGTCTCACATACATCCAAATTCTAAAGTCTGCAGCTTAAGAAACAACAGTAGTAGGAATGTGTCCTAAGTAACGGAAATTATATTTTTATGTTGCTAATTTTTTCCCCTCTGTAATGTATGATGGACCAAATACCATTTTCCCCTACAAAATGTAGAATGGAATTTATATTCAACTGGGAAAAATGGCCCAATAAAACCCAGAAAATCTCCATTTCTGGGAAAGTAACTAGAGACACATTCCTGCTAAGGAATCCGCTTCTTCCTGTTTGAATAATGAAACACAGAAAAAGCAAGAATTACTGCCTAATGTTGTGGCACTCTCGTCTGCCAGATTTCTCTGATGTCACTGAATGCCCACATTTTGATAATGCATAGCTTACATCAAAGAATCACATTTCCCTTTTGGGGAGGGGGCGGGGATGAGGATGCTGATAAATCACACAAATTTAGAAAACCTTTCCACCTTTCTGGGATTTATTCATTCCATTTTTTTGTCATTTCAAGTGCTATAAATGCCTTCATTTCCTCACCTGTTCTTTCCCAGTTGGTCCTTCTGTATAGTACAACTTGTACCCTTGCACTGGGCCATTTGCATAGGCAGGTGGTTGCCATGTGATAAGAATTGAGGTAGGTGAGACAGAGACAGCCTGGAGGTTTTCTACTGGTCCAGGAACTTGCACTGTATTGGGGAAAAAAATAAGCAGGAATAGTTCAGATGTTCAGATATAAAGTTGAGTGGTGTGGTGGCATAATGGTGCAGATGCTTGCCTCTTGTTCAAAAGGTTGAAAGTTCAATCCTAGGTAGCAGCAGATATTTCTCTCCTAGGATGCAAAAAAAAAAAAAAATCTGCTGCAAACTCCCCATGGCATTAGGAAGGGCATCCGGCCAGTAAATTCTCAGGACCATTCAGTCACCCCCAACTCTATCCCAGATTGAGGGATTACAGGGTCATAAAATGGGAGTTCAGATATAAAGTTACAGTAGTGGCCAAAATTGTGGAAACCTTTTGGGAAAAGTGTATTTTCTAAAACTAGCCAATAACACCACTTTTTTTTTTTTTTTGGAGTAGTACCATAAAATTATATATCAATGGAAAGATAATTTAATAATTTAAAATTTTAAAAGGGTTATTTTAAGGGTAATGGGTTTTAAATATTTCGGGAAGCCAATTGGATTTAATTCTGTTTTAAATTATTTTAAATTTTGTATTGTATGTATTTTAATTTGGCTGTGCACCGCCCTGAGTCCTTCGGGAGAAGGGCGGTATACAAATCTAAATAATAAATAAATAGATAAATAAATAAATAAATAAATAAATAAATAAATAAATAAATAATCAAGAATGTAATGCAATAACTTTCATGAAGGATTTGCTATTAGAATAGCAGTTATAAAGAAGAAAAGTGAAACATGTAGAAAAAAGGAGATATACAAAAATTACCACCATGTCAGTTAATACTTAGTTGGGTAACCTTTAGCATGAATTACAGCCTTACAACGTCTTCCCATCGAGTGAACCAAGTCTTTTAGTTCTGCAGCTGTTACAATGTGAAACCAAGGTTGAATGATTGCTTCTATTAACTGGGTTTTATTGCTGGGTCGCTTCTGACTAACAAGTTTCTTTAGTCGGCTCCATAGATTTTCAATTGGGTTGGGCTATTCCCAGGCCATTCCAACAGTGGAATATGATTATCTTGAAACTCCAATAAAAAAAAGTAGTGTTATTAGCCATCAAACCTCAAAAATACACTTTCCCCAAAAGGTTTCCACAATTTTGGCCACTACTGTAGGATAGTATTATGGCCATATCAATTCCAATAGCATCTATGATGACTTCTCAAGCTTTATTGTGAAATCTTGGGCAACAGAATAAATACTGCTTGGAGAAGGCTAAATACTATTCCCATCTTCCAGGGGCAGGGGGCAAGGAAGGAGGGCCCAAGTGATTCGAAGCAATCCATCTGATATAAATACTATTCCATTCTACACAGAAGGCTTTAACAAGGATTTAGGCAAATTGGAATACGTTCAGAGTAAGGTAATGAGGATTATCAGGAGAGTACAAATTAAACTTTGTGAAGAGCGATTGAAGGAACTGGGAGTATTTAGTCTTATTAGGAGCAGACTGACAAGGGATATTACAGCACATCATGTATCTTGACTTCAGAAGAGCGTTTGCCAAAGTACCGCAGGGCATTCTGATGAGCAACCTAATTAAATATAGGCTGAGGCTGCAAGATGGGTCTACCACTGGCTTGGAAAACTTTAAAGAGTGCTTGTTCCTGATCATATTGGAAAGAGGCATCAAATACTGTAGGTGCCACAAGATTCAATCTCGGGACCATTATATTTTCAATAATGACTTGGAAACCTTCTTGAAGAAGGATTCAGAAGTTGTTCAAAAAGGTTCAGAACAAATTCTGTGAAGATGTTTGGGGACCTCAATCTGAATCCTGTAAGGAAAAAAATTGAAATTACCGGCATCAGGTAGCTTTAAGAAGAGAGGACTTAAGGTTGCGATAGCATTTTTTACCCATCTGGAATAATACCAAGGACCTGTTCTCTACCCTTTGAAAGGACTAGAAATGAAATAATGATTTATTATTATGATGATCATCAAAAGCTCACAGCTTAAAAAGCTGACCAGGAGAAAAAAACATGCAAACAATATAATCAATAATAAATGAGACAGCCAAATAAAAGCACCCGAACTTTAATGAGTGCAACTGGGGAGACAGACTGCCTGCTGCTATTTGGGATCTCCGCATTATCTGTGGATACATTCTGCAGACCATTTTTTTTCCTCTTAACCTCAGCAACTTTAAGATGTGCAGCAGGGGAATTCTGGGAGATGAAGTCCATACACTTTAAAGATGATGAGGTTGAGCAACACTGCTGTAAAGGCCCATTGGGCAAATTTCTGTTGTGTAATATGCAGAAGCAGATTCTGTAACAGATCAGGAGAGAAGGAATTCATCTGGGTAGCCTGGAAAGTTTACTAAAAGGCAGGGGTGAAATGCTCCCGGTTCGGACCGGATCACTCGATCCGGTAGCGATGGAGGCGGGTGGTTCGGAGAACTAGTAGCAAAAATCCCTGCCCACCCCCCATGCCCAGCTGAGCCGCACAATCATCAGAGGCTTTTTTTTTTATTATTTTTAAAAGTATTTTTTCTACAACCTCTTCGGCAGCAAAAATGCTTTTAAAAGTTAAAAAAAAAAGCCTCTGATGATTGCGTGGCTCAGCTGGGATTATCAAAGGCTTTTAAAAGAAAAAAAAACTTTTTTTCTTTTAAATGCTTCTGACGATCCAAGCTGAGTTGCCTGATTGTCAGTCAGAGGCATTTAAAAGAAAAAAACCCCTTTTTTTCTGTTAAATGCCTCTGACGATCCAAGCTGAGTTGCCTGATCGTCAGAGGCATTTAAAAGAAAAAAAAGTCTCTGCCAATCAGGCAACTCAACTGGGATCATCAGAGCCTTTTGAAAGCATTTTTTTACAACCTCTTTGCTGAAGAGGTTGTAGAAAAAATGGTTTTAAAAGTAAAAAAAAAAAATTGGCCATGCCCACCCAGTCACATTACCCCCCCCCACCAAGCCACGCCCACAGAACCGGTAGTAACAAATTTTAGATTTCACCCCTGCTAAAAGGGGCAGAATAAAGGTACTGCATACATCTATGGAGATTCTCAGCCAGCCAGGTCATAATTAGAATAGAATAGAATAATAGAGTTGTAAGGGACCTTGGAGATCTTCTAGTCCAACCTCCTGCTTAGGCAGGAAACCCTACACCACTTCAGACAAATGGTTATCCAACATCTTCTTAAAAACCTCCAGTGTTGGAGCATTCACAACTTCTGCAGGCAAGTTGTTCCAGTGATTAATTGTTCTAACTGTCAGGAAATTCTTCCTTAGTTCTAAGTTGCTTCTCTCCTTGATTAGTTTCCACCCATTGCTTCTTGTCCTGCCCTCAGGTGCTTTGGAGAATAGTTTGACTCCCTCTTCTTTGGGGCAACCCCAGAGATATCGCAACACTGCTATCACATCACCCCTAGTCCTTTTTTTTCATCAAACTAGACATACCCAGTTGTCCCAAAGATGGTTTTTCAAGAGGCAACTGGACTTTCTTGTTTTTCTTTGAAGATGTTTCATTTCTCATCCAAAAACCTTTTGGATGATGGGGAATGGAAGAATTTATATTCCTTGCAGACAGCTGGTCATTTGCATTCTTTTAGAGAGTTGTTGAGTCCACTTGGAGGTTTGTCATCAGCGTCACTAGAGTCAGCTGTAGTTAATGGCAGCAGGCAAACAACTGTCTCATTTGAGAGGAAAATTAAACTCATATTGTCTGAATTCCTGCAGCTGCTGATGAGAGAACTTAGATAAAGATACAATTTCTTTAAGAAGTTGCTTACAAGTATTACATGCAAATCTCTGCGTGGCCTAAATTACCTTTTCCCCACCAAGTCCATATCTATGCCTAGCGATACTGAACATTACTCAATATTCAGTTTACAGCTTGACTAGACTGTAATCATCTTCAATAATTTTGTGAACTTTTAGCTGAATTTTCGGATTATGGAACTCAGATAAGCAGCCTGCAAATAAACGTGTAGATACTATGGTCCCTTCCAAGTAGTAAGAAAGGGTCAGAAGCGATACTTCCACATCAGAACAGGATTACAGCCGATCAACTTCAGAGAAATCAAACCTGATAGCAGTAATATGCCAAACAGAAAAATAAAATAACAATCTTAAATTAAAAGACAGATTGTGATAGAACGGAGCAATTTCGTTACTAGACGCTTGTTTCAAAGTGGCATTCTAACAGTGCATTTGGCAATAATGATGATCAATGTAATGAATGACAATGACAGTGAATGATAATGTAAGAAGTTAAGTCATAATAAAGAGGGATTAGAGGAATAGGGAATGTTAGGAGTTTGAACTTGTTGGCCTAATGGCAGTAACAATAGCGATAGCACTTAGACTTATATACCGCTTCACAGTGCTTTACAGCCCTCTCTAAGCGGTTTACAGAGTCAGCCTATTGCCCCCCCCCCCCAACAATCTGGGTCCTCATTTTACCGACCTCGGAAGGATGGAAGGCTGAGTCAACCTTGAGCCAGTGGGAATTGAACTGCTGAACTGCTGGCAGCCAGCAATCAGCAGAAGAAACCTGGAGTACTGCATTTTAACCACTGTGCCACTGCAGCTCCAGTAGGCATCCATCAGGTGTACTGAGTGTCAAAATCTACCCCTTCCTTACTTTAGTATAACAGTGTGATGGGGTTATGAAAGGACAAAGAAATGGCACAATTGCACTGTGATTTGTGACACCCATTTTGTCATTATTATCATCAGACTTGGATGCCTGTGCTATAGTCCCGACCAGTTTTAGTGGACAATCACTTAAGTATGAGCCAGCACTGTCTTGCAGCTGCCAAAAAAGCCAATGCAGTCCTAGGCTGCATCAACAGAGGAATAGTATCAAGATCACATGAAGCATTAGTACCACTATATAGTGAGACCACACTTGGAATATTGCATTCAGTTCTGGTCACCTTATATAAAAAAAAAGATATTCGGACCCTAGAAAAAGTACAGAAAAGATGATTAGAGTCTGGAGTTCAAAACATATGTTAAATGGTTGCACGAACTGGGAATGTCTAATCTAACAAAGA